ACCCATCCACACCCCAAACCCACCACACACACACGCTGTACAAATTAAAATGAGATTCAGTATCATGCTGCATCTATTCTTTAACTGTCAGTCGATTACATAATCTTCGGATTTACGTTAGTGATGGTTTCGGGTGCGAAATATTACTCATGCATTAGATTTCATGATAAATCGGTGCTCGATGAAAGACTCGAGTGTAATGATCAATAAAACGCAGTCGGATGAAGTTGTACAGTTCATACTCAGGTTTAAGAAGCTGACGAAGAATATCACGTGTTCTATTGGTCGTGCTATGACGATACCTTTTAGGTACCTGATTGAGACGACGACGTTTTAAAATATTTACATAGGTGTTGACGAGACCAGTAAATATTGATGGCTGAAGATATTCAAGCAATTCTAATGAACTTTCAAGATATTCTAGGAGACCAATGTAAATATAATATTGTTCAATGTTTGACTTTGCAAGAGCTAGAGCAGCATTACTTGTTGGTCTTGTCACTGTATCATCACATATTGATGAATGACCACAAAAGTATGCAATTGGTGAACGAACTCCGTAAGGATGTGTAATGCACCGACCAGGATCACCAGTGGAAACACATTCATCCATTGTCATATTGCGTAAAGATGAATGTATCAATGAGCATTGCATTTCATCGTGTGCCACCAGACATGTAAAACGACGAAAATCAAAATGTGATAAAGTGCGTGTGAGTGGATCACGCAACTGATTTATATAATAGAAAATGTTATTTGATGTTGGTGTCAAATGAATAAAATGAAAGTGTCGCTCATAAACAACAGGTTGACCACTAGCATTTTTCGTATATTTGAGAAGATCTATAGTCAGATTATGTTGTTCTTCGGTCGACAGATGATGATGAATATATCTACTGTTGTGAATAAATGTGAATGCACCAGTTTGGTTCGATAAAAGTTGAAATAGAGTACTCATCAGCTGACTACCACATTTCGGTACACAATTGTATAGAATAACAATGACTGGACTTATATTTCTATTTCTCATAGGTAATTCTATGGTCGTAGGGCGACGAAGAAGCACTAATATAATTGTACATGTTATCAACGTCAGAATCTTGAGATTACGTATCAATATTCTCATTTGAATATCTAGTCTGTGTTCTGAAAATAATATATAGTTATCGTCAACGAAATGTTGTTGTTGAGTAACCGAGTGGTCTCTGATCCTTCTTTACAATGAGACAATCATTGAAAACGAATTAAAAGAGACTCAGAAGATTATAACTAGTCAAAAACTGCTTATAAAAGTCACATTTTCTGAAATATTTATTCTGACACCTCACCTACTTGGTTATTGATTGCAATCTGGAATAGTTGAAAAGTTCGCTTGACTAAGTCACTAGAAGGTTGCAAAGTATGAAGATATACACTTTCCCAGTTTCGTTTTGGGGACTGGCAGAACTCCTAATGGGCTGAACTGTGCCGACGCAAGTCCATCCATGGGATACCAATCTTTGGCCCAATCAAGCTCAGCCCAGTCATCACATAAAGCAGTTTTCTCATGGGTATCCATGGGTGATTCGTCCAATGAAATATTTTTTTACAGAATAGTATAACTTGCCACATTGATCGAACTTATTTTTTATCACTAACATTTTTTTTAATTTTATCATTTTTAATAGTAGTGGGCACCGAGAAATATTATTTCAGAAAAAGTTTAACACATTGGAATGCATACTGCTCTTGACTGAGACAGACTGGGTCTCAATTCTCGTCAAAATTATGGATGCACTGTAAAAAGGTTTTGTCCAAGATAGGGTGTATTTACATTAAGGCTGCCCCCCCCCCCGCCCTAAAAGAAAACTTTTCATAAAACATGTAAATCGCATGAAATTTTCAGGATATATTAAGGCTCTAGTGAGGATGCTATAGCCATATTTTGAACTTGATCCCAAGAGATTTTTTGGAGATAAAGGGTGTGTAATAAGTTCTGATCTCCTGCAAGTAATATGATTTTCTTCTATGTTTTTTCAGTAGAGTAGGGTGATATTTGCGGAATATATACTAGATATCTAAATTTACTTTCCACTAGAATTTCAGCTTTCTACCTCTTATACTCAGAGACGCATATGTAGCTTAAAATTAATATTGATTTTTCGATTCATTTGTAATAACTTCTCTGCCATTTTATTAAGAGTACTAAATAAAAAATAATGGTATTTAACGAGATTTACAAATCGAAATTCTTTTAACATTATAAGAAACAAACGTGCGTCAATGTTTGTTCATCTATTCACCATCTTGACCTATCAATTTTGTGGAATTCACGTGTATTGTCGAAGAAAATAGTGAGTGTAAGTTTTAAGTTCAAGTTTTTGTGGTTTCTCCTTTCCGATTACAGACACATAGCAGCGTAGGTTCCCATTACAGGCCTAAGCAACTGCGCTCAAAAGACTTCAGATTTATTTAACAATAAAAAGAAATTAATTGAACAGTATGAAGAATATGAGTTCGACTGCTATACAATATTTCAATGCTTTCATAAGTATTTGAAAAAAGCTGGCTTTCAGTTTACAAAGGATGTATTGGGATAACAAGTCTCAAGGATGTACGTGAGTTCCACATTTCAGTTCCTTTGAAGCTGTACTAACAAGCATTTTTAATCGATGCGATAATTCTTCTATCATTTTCCAAATCTACTACAATTGATCTAAAGTCTTTATTATTTTCGGAAATATTTAACATGATATAAGTATGAATTGTCAAATATAAATTTGTATTAATCTAGATTTCTAAGTCGAGTTTGTCGTCTTTATTTGAAAATAAAACGATAATTTGGTTAAAAAAATATAAAAATAATAAATCAGTTCGATCAGTAAGTAAAAGTTAATTTATCTGTTCATGTAACTCGCTCGTAAGTTTTATTATTCTGCAAATCATGAGCGTCAAATAAAAAAAAGAGATTCTTCAGTTTTTTCCTATTAATAGCCACGTAGATAGATGACAGAATGCAGAATGGCTACACAGAAAAATAAAAGTTACTCGTGATCGGAGTTTGATCGAATAACTATAATGTTTTCTTCTATGCTGTTTCTAAAAATAAATCGAAAAATTGTTATTAATGTTAGGTTACATGTATCTTTCTGGGTATAAGAGATGGAAAACTGAAATTCTAGTGTAGAGTAAATCTAGATATCTAGTATATACTAGAACTATCATCCTACTGTACTGAAAAAAAGTTACAAGAAAAAATTACTCCATGAAGGGAATCAGAACTTATTACACACCCTTTATGCATGAAAGAGTCAATAATAGCTATTTTCGTTTCCCAAATTTCTCTGTCAGGCTTCAGTTTATGTGTTTAATTGTTTTCTTATTCGAAAGAGCGTGTTAAAATGCGGAGAATCCCACAGTCCTTTTTTGCAATCTTACTTTGTTTTGCAGGATCAGCATCACAAGTGCAATCACTCCAAACACTTCGATTTTTTGCGCATTTTTGGAGCACTTTTTCAGTTATTGCACTTGTGATACTGATCCTACAAAAAAAAGTAAGGTTGCAGAAAAAGGACTGTGGTATTCTCTGCATTCTGACATGCTCTTTCAAACAAAACACAGAACAATTAAAAACATAAAGTAAAGTCTGACAGAGAAATTTGGGAAACCGAAATAGGGTATGAATGTAGGTGTTGGCGTGGGGGTGGGTGTGGGTGTGGATGTGGATGTGGATGTTGGCATGGGTGTGGGTATGAGTGCACTCAAAAAAAAGGTACTTCAGAAGGTTTTGAATTTTACAACGAAATCGAAACCTTTTTGAAGTATCATAAAGTCTTACGAAATCTTCAAAAGGTTTCGTAAAGCCGTATGATACCTGAAAAAGGTTTCGTAGATCGTACGAAACCTAAAAGAAGGTTTCGATTTCGTTGAAAAATTGAAAACCTTTTTCAAGTTTCGTCTCGTACCAATTCTTTTTTCAGAGTTGGATGGATGTGGTTGATTTATTCTCTTAATACACCCACACTCATGCCCTTCATGTATATAGCACATTATCTTTATCAAATTACGCATTATTGAGTTAAATCAATGTTCATAAAAATTGAACTCGTGAACATGGTCATATGTATGAATTTATAGAGAATCGATCGCTCTATAAGAAGCACTAGACCAAAGTCTCTGCTTTTTTTATCAGACTAACTGCGAAATCAAGAATGACGAAATATCAGATTTTTTGCAATATTCAAGAGGACATTATTTCCATAGAGTCAACGACGTTGTATAAAAATGCTCTATGATTCCGATAAGACTTTCAATGTTTTAAAGTTTTCAATTCTCAGCATTTCAAAAAAAAGTGTATTTTTTCATTAGCTGTTATTTTGACGAAGGTAAACTTAAAATACTGTAATCAGCAAAAGATCATTAATCTCTGAAATATGGTTTTCTCCTCGTCAGAAGTTTGAGAAATAGTTTTTGATACTATAGTTCATTAAAACAAGGTTAAAATCAAGATCGGAAACCATATTCGGATTCTTGCTGACACAGCGTATCGGATAACACCTAAATTCAATTTCCTTTTTGGACGAAAATCACTCCGACTCCTAAAACTAAAGACGAAGTAGCAGTGGATTATTGGGTGATCGGTGAGCAATCAGGGTCAGTTAGAATCCGTTTTCTGATTACAATAAAGTTGAATTTAGTATTGTTCGATGTCCTGTCTCGGCAAGAATCCGAACATGGTTTTCGCTCTTGATTTTAACCTCATGTTAAGGACCTCATCTCACCCAAATTTTTTTAAGCTTCTGATCATCCAATGTTGCTGTCATTTGTAAAGAAGGTGTATCTCGTGCTAGGTATCTCACAGTAAAAATTTCAGTTCAAAATATTGAGTCTACCAAGATTTATGTCAAGATTATGGCTCAAAATGGAGGGATCCGCGTTTCCTAAATACATCTGCCATTTCAAATAGTAGATATGGTAATGGCAGGATGTGTATTGTAGTACATTTGAATCTCATGAGACACTAAACATAAAATCTAAAACTTTGGCTGTGTTAGGCTGTAGAGCTAAACAGTGCCTTCAGTTTGAAACTAACCCGAGCTCTCTAGTATTTGAAATGATGGAGAAATTTGGTAAATATGAAAGTGTTAAAAAAAGACCCTGTTGTGAGAAAAACATTAAAGAAGTTTTAGAAGTGAAATTGAAGAGTTTTTCTACGATAACATGGGGTAAAATAAATTTTTCAATGATTTTCCATAGATCATTGATTAGAGCAAACTCAGTAGACGCATATAGAAGTTTATGGAAAAAGTTTTATTTGTTCCATATGGTAATATTTTGTGCACGGTCGAATCAATAAGAACTAATTGGTATGATACTAAACAAATCATCTGAATTTATATCGATAATTTTGTATCACGTAATAATAGTATTTTCAAATTATGTGAAATAGATGAAAACATGTTGAATTCCTTTTCACATATGAAAATATTCTGGCAACGTTTATTAGCTAGTTTGTCCAAAATTTTAGATAAGTGATGGTAAGTCATTACATTCTGTTTGTTTGATGTGCAACGACTTTGCATTGACATCATTGATTATTCGCTGGTATTTGATGATGATGAATGGTCTCTTTCCCTTTTT